TAGTTGCAAACTTCTTTTGTAGCTTTTGCTAAAGCTTTCATCATTTTCTCCAGATTTGGAGCCAAATATGATCGTTGGTTTTAATTTTTGAGAGCGTTAAGACTTAAAAAATACCATTCTGTAAATTCAGGAAACAATAAAATGTTTTACAAAAGCTTTCTTAATTATAAACCAATTTTTAGTGGACACCTCTTCCAGGCATTCTCAATCTTTAATCGAGCTTTTGAAGATTGGAGAAAAGGGATTTGGATTTTACTGACAAATAATCAGCATTTTTTAATTTTTTGTTCTACTACATTTAACAAACGCCTTGAAATGAAAAGTTCAAAAGCTTTTTCTATATTTTGTTTGGCTTCGAAAATGCTATTTTAACCAACTTTATATTTTATGTAAAAACACCATAGCTATGAAAGAGAAAATAAAAAAATATCGAGCTTTTGAGTTCTGAAAATTTGGTAAATACAACTTACATAAGCATTTTTTTTTTCAAGTGTTTTGTTAACTAAGCTTTTTGNTCAGATTTGGAGCCAAATATGATCGTTGGTTTTAATTTATGAGAGCGTTAAGACTTAAAAAATACCATTCTGTAAATTCAGGAAACAATAAAATGTTTTACAAAAGCTTTCTTAATCATAAATCAATTTTTAGTGAACACCTCTTCCAGGCATTCTCAATCTTTAATCGAGCTTTTGAAGATTTGGATTTTACTGACAAATAATCAGCATTTTCTAGTTTTTTGTTCTACTACATTTAATAAACGCATTGAAATGAAAAGTTCAAAAGCTTTTTCTATATTTTGTTTGGCTTCGAAAATGCTATTTTAACCAACTTTATATTTTATGTAAAAACACCATAGCTATGAAAGAGAAAATAAAAAAATATCGAGCTTTTGAATTCTGAAAATTGGTAAATACAACTTACATAAGCATTTTTTTTCAAGTGTTTTGTTAACTAAGCTTTTTGAAAGCAAAACGACTACTAGTTGTTTTAGTTATCGAAAGTTTAGGAACAAGACAGATTGTTTGAATGTGATAGAGGGAACCCCATTGCGCCCTTGAGGAGCTTTTTAAGCTTTCTAAGCTTCGGAAAGGTCAGGGAGATTGCTTTACTTACACAAAGGTCAGAGAGAGCATTTGCGTTGCCCGCCCTAAGCACTCTTCAGTTGGGCTTTACATTTGAATATGAAGCTTTCTGGAACAGAACAAAAATGTTAAAAGCTTTATTAAAACATATTTGGGTTTACAGTCATGTGCTGAAAAATAGAGCTTTTTGATTCAAAAATTGTCCTTATTTGTTAAATAAGGCAATTTGGAAACTAATGATGCCCACAATCAAGCTTTAAAGCTGTGCCCGTTTTTAAAGATGAACGGAAAGTTACTTTTCAGGCTTTGCATGCATCCCTATGAATTTTTCTTACTTCTTTTGGAAAGGAATCTGGTGAGGATAGGCCTATTCATGCTTTTATATCAGCGTCGATCAGAGAGCTTTTACACTGTACTCGTTGATATGAATTCTATAAAATGCTTTAAAAAGCTTCTCTCGCAGGATATGTTTTGGCGATTACTGATGTGTGTAGGCAAAATACGTTCGGATTTATAACGTTTTAACAGAATGCGACCAAAACACATTTCGCCACTGAAGCTTTCTAAAGATTTCTGTAGATTTTAAATCGTACATTTTTTAAATATAAAATTTTTTACTGGCGAGTGCACCGGATTTTTAAAGCTCTATCTACATACCACTACAAGCTTCACATTTACAAAGCGAAGAGCTTTATGAACCTTTTCAAANTTCGCCACTGAAGCTTTCTAAAGATTTCTGTAGATTTTAAATCGTACATTTTTTAAATATAACATTTTTTACTGGCGATTACCGGATTTTTAAAGCTCTATCTACATACCACTACAAGCTTCACATTTACAAAGCGAAGAGCTTTATGAACCTTTTCAAACTCTCAACGATGGGAGGGCTTTAAGCTTCTTGTAGAGCACAATTATTAAAAGCATCGCATATTGAAGAACGCGTTTTTAGTTCCATTTAGTTCTTTCTTAACTGTTTTTTTTTGTCAGAGAAAATCAAAATCTTTAATTTCCAAATAAAATTTTGCTTAACGGGTTTGAATAGAAAATCGAAAGAATAGCATATAAATCTGTANGCATTATTAAAAGCATCGCATATTGAAGAACGCGTTTTTAGTTCCATTTAGTTCTTTCTTAACTGTTTTTTTTTTTTGTCAGAGAAAATCAAAATCTTTAATTTCCAAATGAAATTTTGCTTAACGGGTTTGAATAGAAAATCGAAAGAATAGCATATAAATCTGTATTAAACAACCCAGAGCAAGCTGAATACGGAGAATTTAAAGTGGTAAAGCTCAGAGGAAATCTTTTACCTAGATGAAGCTTGCTACAATAGGCTCCTGAGCCAACCTATGTTCTCATACATACAATAGAAATTTATTCACTTTAAGTAATTACAAATCAAAGAATAAATGTGTGCTTTATTCTCTGAAAGCGTTAAAAGCTCCCAAAGCTTTCAGTAAATTATTGCAACCACGCAGCGACAAAGCTGGAATATCTACCTTTTCTAGATGCAGCATCTTTCTTAACCTCAATAAATAACAAACAAAATATTACAAATAAAAACAATCACCCTCAGAAGCAAACAAATGCTTTAGAAAAACATACTGTCTCAAAACAAACGCTAGACTAGTTCGTTTTGTGACAATACTGGATCAGGATTGGTGATAACATTTAAGAGTATAAAGTTTTGAGAAAAAATTTCTTTGACTCTTGTGAGATCTTGCCCTCCAATTCATTTTTTAAGAATAAATTTTTTCTAAAAAGCCACTCAAGAGCAAAACATTCTTTTAATCAAGTGTTGAAAAAGTTAATTGCCTTCTCGCAGTAGCTGACAGAGTTCTAGTCCTTCAAAGAGACTCGCTCTTTCTCTAGCCTTATCACAGCTTGTAAACGCACACCTACATACCCAGGTTTATAGGCGTCTGTGCGGTTATATTTTTATACCGCAAATACTTACTAAGAGCTCTATCTACACGAATGCATACAGTTATATGCATGTGTGTACATATGTAAGTATGTAACTAAGTCTCCCACCTATCTATCCAGACGTCCATTCGTCTGCTACTACATAGCAAACTGTCAAGTCGTCGCGTAGGACTTATGTAGGTGATAGCGGCAACAAACAAGCGGCGACCGAGCAGTTTAGTACACAACCGCAGCGTGAACGCTCATACATTGTGGCGATGCTGTGGTTGATGCGCGAAAGTACTTACTGCGCGACGAAGTGAGCATTTTTATGCTTATATAGGCAACAGCCAACAGGCGTGTTCACAATTAAGTGCAAAATGTTGTGAATTTAATTAAAAAGTTTCGCATCAACGGGAGTGAAAGAGAAGTTCAACAACTATCGCGTTAATATCGTCCTGTAGTCGTCTCACAATCTGTTGCACATTCATATTTGCAAAATTAATATAGTGAGTGCGAGAACAAAAACAAAAACAAAATCAAAAACAAAAAAAAACTCAGTGCGATGAAACCAACTAATGGCCCGCGTAGAATTCGCTTAATCGAAATCTTTTAAAATTGTTAGCGAGAAATCGTCGAAATAAGTGCGCAAATCTTGCATGACTCCCCTCCCCCCGTTTAACTGCGCTCCATCCGTTCACCGCGCTCATCGCCGCCAATATGGTTATCGTAGACTCACCTCGTGTCGCGCAGAAGTATCTGCGTCGCGTTTCAAAAGACTTTTCAACAGTGCGTCGCTTTAGTTCCGCGCGCCTCCCACACGCCAGCACGCAACTCTCACCGGATCCTCAGCCTGTGTCGGCGGCGCAGACTGTTGATGGCATCGATAATGTCAATGACGTTCCAATCGGTAAATCCGAGTCTTTTCGCGGCATACGGCAGCGGCAGTACGCGCGCAAACGGTCCTCCGTCTCGTCGACACTCACGCGTGTGCTCATACTTAATGTACGTGATTTGCTGAGGGTGACCGATATGCGAGAACAGGAAAGTGAGGTACATATGTTTGGATGCTGTTGCTGGTGCGAAGCACACTGCCTTTCATTTCAACTCTGCTCTTCCTCCTCGTTCCATTCATTAATTACCATCTCCTCAATTTGTTCATTGAGGATGTAATTATAAATCGATGACAGCACGTCGTTCGTTGGCGCTGAGCTTCGCTTGATGGCTGCTGCAAAAGTGGCCGTGCATCACTCGACGCTATTTCTGTTTATTTTTGCATTCCTCGCAATTTCTCAATTATCACTCAGTGTCAGTGCTTGTGTTTTCATAGGCGATATCTCAGTAGTTTGCTGCAGTAAATATTGCTCGTTAAGTTCAGCTGCAGTTACTCATTTCCTTGTGATATCCAGTGTTATGACAGTATTTGATTGAGTTGTGCTTTTTTGTTGTTTGTTTGTTATTTTGCTTGAAAGTTTTACCACCCTAGCCGTTTGGTCATTTGCAGTATCTATGCAGTTGATGCATTTGCAGTATGCAAATTAGCTTAAGTACATAAAAAGTAAAAGCTTGTATGTGCTTTTAAGGAAATTTTAATAAGTCATTAGGCGGAAATTGCTGTTGCTTGTGAGGAAATTCGAAACATACTTTGGGCGTATTTTGCTTGAACTATTCAACACTCATCTCTTCTTTCTTACGTATCCCAACGGTAGTCAAGACTAAGCGATAGGAGCTTTTTAAAGCTTCATATAAGTTTTCAATGAAATGAGAAAAATTTCACTGCCTCTGTTCGTATACAGTTAGTTGAAAAGTCGTTTGATAAGAAAAACAAAAATTTAAAAAAATGTCGTTTTCTTCTTTTTCGCAGTTAGGCCCCGATATATCAACCATAATCAAAAAATGTATATTGTTATTCCCCGAAGAAGATGTTTCTACTTATTAACAGTTGGTATATAAGGCAAATTCGAAAAACAGCAACATTGGGATGGAATTATATGGACCCCCTATGAGAGCCACGAGAGCGGTGTGAGCATTAGGGTGGTCCAGAATAAAGTTTAAAATTTTAAGCTCTTAAACTCTAGATTTTTTCTGAATAGAATACAAATGAATTTTTCCATGTACATATTTTGTATGGGACAAAACACTTTTTCGTGCAAGTAGTATTGAACTCTTGAAAATCAATGTTTTTCGGTCGAGAACCTTCGTTTATCTTCAAGAAGCCTCCGATAAAAATACAAAATTGTTTATCCAACTTTCTTTTAATGCTAACTAATTTTATAGGTCCCCTAAAACCCCAAAAATACAATAAGTGACCCATAAAAAATCGTTAGTATTAAAAAATTGAGAAATTAACGATTGGGTATTATTATGAAAGTCTCCTGAAGAGAAACAGAGTTTTCCGATCGAAAAATATTGTTTTTAAATAATTCTATACCATTTCTGCGTAAGTGTTTTTTTCTCATATAAAATACGCGCAAATCTTCATAGGCTATGAAGCAGTCCTAATTATATATTTAAAATAAATATGGGTATTATTTTTATACCCGAGCGCACTTGTGCACAAGGGTATATTAATTTTGTTCACATAACGGTTGTTTGTAACAGCCAAAACGAATCGAGATAGATATAGACAAATGTATACATAAATGATCAGGATGAAAAAAGAAATCGATTAAGCCATGTCTGTCTGTCCGATAACTAGAGCAAAAATTGAGATATCTCAACGACATTTGGTATGTAGGTTTCCGCTAATCCAAGGTAGGTTGGTATTGAAAATGGGCGAAATCGGACTGTAACCACGCCCACTTCCCATATAACGGTAATTTCCAGAAATACGAAAACTGCGATATTTTAGTAACTACTGAAGATAATTCACTCAAAATTGATATTTACAATAATTTTCAGACGAAAAATAAGAGTATTATAAATTTTTGGAAAATGGGCGTAGCCACGCCCACTACATGTTACATGTGTATATCTTGGTAACCGCTGCACCAAATTCTTCCAAAGTTGGCACAATTTTTAAAATCGGACCATAACCACGCCTACATCACATATAACGGTAATGTAGAGAAATACAAAATCTTCGATAAATCAGTAAATATTAAAGCTAATTTATTCAAAATTGATGACTGCAAACAATTCTTTACCAAGAAATACAATTCTTTACCAAGAAATACGTTTATGGTAAGATTTTGGAAAATGGGCGTGGCACCGCCCACTTATGATCACATATATGTATCTCGGTAACCGTGCTACGAATTTGTACCAAACTCGGTATGGTTATTGTGCTTGCCACATAAAATCAAAACGTTGAAAATTATTGAAAGTGGACTAAAATTGAGGCCGCTTCACATATAACGGCAAATTTCAGAACTGCTTGGAACTTCGATATTTCGAACTTTAAGGACGCTAATTTACTCAAAATTGATACACCCCGGCTTACCATCTAGCGGTAGCTTTCGGAAAGGTGAAAAAACATATACTTAATACTTGCGCCGGGCATTTAATGTTCGGGTCCACCCGAACTTAGACTTTCTTACTTGTTTCTATTTAGAAAAATCTTAGGGGGTGAGAGCTTACAATTTTTAACTTTATTGTGGACCACCCTAATGCTCACACCGCTCTCGTGGCTCTCATAGGGGGTGCATATAATTCAGCGATGGGCAGAGAGAGCTTTTACTTTTTTCGTCGCATGTATTTTTTTCCTACCCTGGTGAGCATCATATGTTTTTATATCGAGGTTATTCACACTTGCCTAGTTATCAGGTTATGTGTTAATAAATAATTATTATGTAGTGTATTTTATTGTTGTTAACTGAATAGAAAAATTAACCACATAACCACATAACCTAATAACCATGCAAGCGTGAATAACCTCATTTTGATTATGGATCCAACTGCATTCAAAATAGCTCTCAGTATTTAAAATTTACCAACGATTCGGGCAAAAAGCAAAGCAAGGTGTTTGTTTTAGAACCTTGCTTCGAATATTTACTACTTTTCTAAGTGTAACTTTGTTGAGCAGAAGTCACTTTCATCAGTAGATGACCAACAAACAGTCTTTAAGAAAATATCAAGGCTTAATAATGATCATCATAGGAATAATTTGGCGCTTACACTTTTGCCAAGTGTTTGGCCGAGCTTCTCCTCCAATTTGTGGTGTGCGTCTTAATGTTGTTAGACAAATAAGGGGACCTAAAATTTGACACTGCCTCTGAATGGCAAATGATTTTGTAGAAGCTTCTTCCATGACAGAAATACACTCGGAGGTCTTGCCATTGCCTGTCGAGGGGCAACCGTTGCTGAAAAAAAACTTATTCTAATTTAGATGCTGCCCCACCATGGATCAAAACCAGGTCCGAGAGAGTGGTAGTACGCACCTCTTAACCACTCAGTCACAGCGAATCAATACAGTACTTACTTAGTTGAATAATGATTCTTCTCATTTACTTTTTGCTACCGGCGATCGTATGACCTTGTCACGCAATAGCCCAAAATATTTTATTAAAACAAGTGTGCCAGCTTGGTAAGCATAAATAACCGTTTTTCTTTCCCCCTCCTTTAAAGTGACCGCTATTATGTACCTACCTAATTTCGAGGACTTTATAAATTTTCCACGAAAAATATAGAAATAAATTAAGTATGCGCTTTGCTATCATTTGCACACTAATTGCCTATTTATGAGCTGTAAATAATAAAAATGCAATTAAACGGTGTTTGTCTCCTCAAAAATGTTAAACAACACTTTGCAAAATTTGTTCTTGTTGGCTTTTTAAGGTTTTTGCTTGTCTTGTTAGCCGTACATAAATACATATAAATATACATTCAACATATAAATATATACACACAAATACAAATTTACCAGTTTGTGTAAGAAACTTTTCTTTTTACTTAAGAAAGTACGAGTATTTATTTGTTTCATTAAATTGTTCTTCACTTCAATGCACAGCCATGCACCGTTACACACATTCACATGCACATAAAAGAACTCATGCATTGCATTAAAGGATAAAATTAAAGGTGAAAAAGTAAAATAGGAAGTTGACGAAGATAGTTTTTTATACTAGTCAATTTAAGAACTAGAAGATGTAATTATCGAAAATAATATTAAATAAAAAATAATAATTTAAATAAACAATAATATAAAGTAAAAAAAAAAAAATTAAAATTAAATAAAAATGTATGCGACTGTTACGAGTCTTGCCGGCACAGCAGTTAATTATGCGTCAAGTGGGACCTGGAAAATCTAATACCATAGACAGACGGCAAAGATAATCGGGATTAACGGCGCAGTTAGTTAGGTAGGTAGGTAGGTAGGTGTAGCTGCCACTGCTATGCAGAGACTCACATAGTTTTCCTACCCTTTGCTAAACCACGAAACTCGCCAGGCACGCTAGGTTTAAGTCTTCCAATTTGTCGCGGTAACTAAAGTAAGGAGACCCCAAAAACGACACCTACTCCTCGATAAAGCAGAAAAGATGGAGAACTGTCTCATCCCTCTTTAGATAATATAAGCTTCGACACCCTTTCGATAAAATTCTCCTATAAGCAGCTTACAGCGTTTTTGTTACTCGGAAGAATCTGCTTGAAATGGAAGAAGATGGACTAGGAGTAGAAATACAAATGTAGTTCCATGTATCCCGCAGTGTTGTTATTAAGATTTGAGAGGCGCATTCTCGCGTGGAATAAAGCCAGCCTAAATGGGAAAAATTAGACGCATTTCATATATCATTTGCCAGTACCAGCAGCTTAAAAACCCTACAACAAGTAATACGAACATCAAGACGCAATACGGTGCCCAATGCTCACCGTCCCAATTATTTAATCAGTCGAATGAAGCTGACTAGGGAAGTTTGTGGCAGAGGCCAGATTGACGTTGCAGCATTGCATTATAAACTTGTTCTGAACGTCAGTGGGTATTTTGATCAGAAATCTCCTCAATAATGTACACACTAGACTGCAGTGTCCGCCGATGACCGCGGCATTCCACTTCGTATGAATCAATCTTTGGAAAATAGGTACGGGACATTAGTGGACGAAAAACTCCAAAGACGATCTGAAATTGTTGTATTCCGCGCACGGTGTGCTTTTGGAACACTCTATGGGAATTGGTCGTACTAATATAATTTCGTTCCATAATTAATCCTTTAAAAACATTTTTTAAATTTTACTATACAAATCTTGTTTATTGAATTTTTTATGCATGATTTGCTTGCACAGGCCCTTCTCCCAAATTAATATCACTTGAACAACAAATTATAACGATTTTGAAGTTGAAAATATACACAGAGAATATCGGTTGGGTCCGCATTTCGACTGAAAAAAGCCGAAACAGAAGACACTATTTTTTCAATTTAGTCCTTCCCACAAATATAATCCACATTCTGCGTGTCGTAAGATACAAACATGGTTTTAAGCCCCTAATCCTTCAATGAACGCCACCAGGAATCACAATAGGCCAGGCGAAGACTTGCAAACACAACACAAAAGTGGTGAGAGTATCCCGAACTGAGGGCATCCTCTATTTGTCATGGTGCAAAGGCTATCTTCCTCACCCATGTCAGCAATCTTATAGATAAATTAAAGTGTAACCAACCTATGATTGTCGCGTTCACTCCATGCCTCCTGTCCACAGAGCACATATACCCCCTCTGTATCAGCAAAGGCTACCATTATGTACTCACCTGCTTCCAGTTCCACTGAGCTGAATCACAGAACTCTTCACTTTGGTATGCATGATGGCGAACACTAGGGAGGCTTTACACAAAAAACCTACTTTGCTCTAATGATATCTAATTTACTTTTCGACCGTGCGCTCCAGGCTCTTCAACATGAAAGATTCCATACTGATTGGTCTGAAGCTTTGTGGTTTCGTAATGTAGGCTATTTTGTCCTAATGAGTGGGAACGTGTTCAACTGCTCTAAGAGGCCCTAAAAACTCTTAGTATAACCCCTATAAGCCTGACTGCCCCCATATCAGCATCTTAACATACATGCCGTCTTACCCTCGGTGATTTTAATTTGACAAAATAGGCTAGAGAATACCGCACTGACTCCTGAGTAGCCACTCTTGATGATAAGTACCAGTCTAGTCTAGACTTCCATATGTCTATATGCGGCAGGAATCAACCTGTTACCCGGAAAATGGGGTTCGTAGAGAGTGCTGATATACGATCTTTTAGATTTTCTGAGAGAATGCAGCCGTTAGGTTCTGCTGAAGTACCCTACACTGCCTGGCAGTCTCTTTCACGATATCAGTATCACTGCAGATGCTCTCTAGAGCAGCTTAAATGCGTTCTCTTATATGCGTTCTGCGCTATATAATATTCGGACCAATCCTCCCGTTTTGGGGTTTAAATGCCCTTTGAAGTAGTTTCGTGGATCTTTTATTAGATGTTTGGTAGAGTTAAGCGTGCCATCATGTGACCACTTTTCCCCTGCCTGCTTCTTGTTAGCCGACACCATTCGCAAAACAACCAATCAAAGTACTGGTTATATTCTCTGGGTCGCTCTTCAACGGATTTCAACTGTCTAAAGTTTTGGGAGATCTGGTATTCTCATTTCAATGGCCAACCCAAACTTTGCCTTTGAAGGCAGGAACGCGATCTTTTGGCGCGTGAAATTCAATGAATCAGATAACTCGATAGCCAGGAAAGCAGTGAATAACATGAATAAAATAAAAAAAAAATAAAAAATGAAATGAAATATTATAAAATTTAATCAACTATAGCCCCAATAAAGCTGAATAGAAATAAAGAAAAAAAAATGTGATTAGCTTTTCTGACTCGCACTGTATCTTTAGTCAAAAACTTTAATTTTGAGTTAGTGAAAGCGTATCTTTAAAAAGTAAAAGTTCAAAAAATGTTGCACAGAGAACGATCTAACTCGAATTCTCTCTTCTAAATTTTCTAGATGCCAAAATGTTTGCTTTTGTAAGCTGATAGTAACACGCCAAAGTTACGCTTTGACTAACTTAATGCAAACCTCTATATAATTTATGTGTTCAAATCTTCCACAATAAATGATTCCATACATAATTGGCATATAACTGTAACACATCTCTTTCACAGTTTTCGATAATTTTAATTTAAGATTAATTTGCATTGATTGATTTTCTGCATTTATTTCATTGCTACTTGTATATATGTATGTATGTATATACCTTTTCAATTGTTATGACAAACTTCAATTCAGTTTAAAATTTTTTTAACCCATATTTTATCTCTACGACTCTCTACTCAACTCTCACTACTTTACTATCTGTTTCCTTAGTGTGTTTATGTTTTTTTTTTGTTTTTTTTTGTGTTCGTCTTTTATTATTGTTGTATACTGTGTTTCCAATTAAGTATTGTTGGTAATTGTACGAAACTAAAACCCCCCAAAAAAAAAACGATATATTTTTACACAGAAACAAAACTAAGTACTTTTTGACGTGTATGAATTGTCTCAACGGAATGTAAAAAATATACCATTGAATGAATATAATAACAGTAATACTAATTTTTTTGCTCATCAATTAAAAACTAATACAAATATAAAATCAACTAATCTTTGTTTCTTTTTGCAAATTTTCTTTTTAACTACCATTTGAAAATATTTGCTGATCACCCTGGCGCGCTTCCCGACCGGCAGCATACACCTCGCAGCTGGATTGAAACAAATTTCCAAAAGAGAGAATGCATCAAATTCATACCATCCAAAGATGAGACAAAGTGAGTATACAAAAATATGATTGGCCGAAAAATAGATTCATTTAAATCTTATTATTGTAATTTTAGGATATAGTACAGTCATGTGAAAAATAAAAGGGACACGACGTTTTGACCGGTTTTGGCGATTTTCCTTTTGTTTGTTTAATGTTTATTATTTTTTTTTTATATCACATTATTAAACTAAAAGTATATAAGTGTAAACTTCAAGCTTTGTAGAAAAATTCGAAAAATTAATCAAAACTTTTTATTAAGCATTTTTAGCAAAAAATCCAAGTATGCAGTTTTTTTATCCCATTAAATGCTAGCACAAGAAAAAGTAAGTTTAAAGTGGCTAACAATTCGCCTTGATTTTTGATATTTTTTTTTGCGGGTGGTGTTGTTATGCTCTTCTATACAAAAAAAAAATCCCAACATACTTTGTTTGGAAAAAAATGCGAGACACCGGCAGCAAAGAGCCACTTTAAATTTGCTCTATATTAAGCTGGAATTTAATGGGATATAAAACTTAGACTTTTATAAAAATTCTGTGTAAAAAGTTTGTTGTTGTAATATTTTGTTAAATTTTGCTACTTTTTCTACAAATTCTTAATAAAAATTCGTTGTTGTAAATTTTTGTTGAATTTTCCTAATCTTTCGGCAGAGTTTGAAATTTATACTCATATGGCTTTTTTTACATATTGCGTTGTGTTAAAAAAAAAATAATAATAAAATTTAAACGAGCAAAAAGAAGATAGCCAAAACTGGTCAAAATGTCGCGTTCTTATTATTTTTCACATGACTATAATTATTAACCACATGGAAGCTTAAAATTAAAAACTGGAAACCAGTTTTTGCAAATGTGAAAACGGCACACAAATGTTTGGCAATTTTTATGATTTATTGAGTAATTTTATAACTGGACATACATGGATACTGGACTTTGCCACTTTAAAATTGTACATAACTTTTTGGTAAAATAAAAGCTTTACGTTTTTTTGATCATCTAAAAGATGAAGATGGACATAGGGTTTTTTCATTTGTACACTGGAAATAAATTGTAGGCCATTTTAAAATTAGATATAATTTTTTGGTAAATTAAAAACTGGACATAATAATGTTTCGTTATTAAGACACAGGACATAAACTTTTGATCAATTACAAATAGAAGCTAAACATTTGATCATTTAAAACTGGATAACAAATTGATGATGACATGCGGATATAAAATTTTTCTTTAAAAAAATGGATGCAAAGTACATACTTATACATATATACAGTATTGGCCATATCTATATCACCCCCATTTCAAAGTGATATTTTTTGCCACTTGTGTTTAATTATTAATTTTTAAGAATTATTAGAATACAGTTCATTCTCTAACAAAACCCATATAAACCCAAGTTTTAAACTCTGTAAAAGACTACAAAAAAAAAAACGCAACAAATTTTCACCTAAATTTCAAGCTTTTTTCTGCAGTGCTAGAATTTTTTTGAGTACGCAATTTTATAGCCCATTCAATTTTAGTCAGACAAAGTGCAAGTTTCAAGTAGCTAAAAATTACCGTTGATTTCTTAGTTTTTTTTTTTACGCATTTGCTTCCATATAACGTATAAAAACACAATTTATTTTTATATGGAAGAATCCCGCAACATCTTCGGCGAAAAAAAATTCTAAAAAATCAACTTGAAACATGCACATTGTTAGACTAAAATTGAAGAGGCTATAAAACTGTGTACTCAAAAAAATTCTAACACTTCTGAGAAAAAAGTTTGAAAGTTTGTTGATTTTTTTTTTTGTAGTTTTTTACGAAGTTTTAAACTTGGGTTTATAAGGGTTTTGTTAGAGAATGAACTGTATTTTAATTGAAATTTCCTAAAAATAAATAATTAAACATGAGCTGGAAACAATACCACTTTGAAANCTGTAAAAGACTACAAAAAAAAAAACGCAACAAATTTTCACCTAAATTTCAAGCTTTTTTCTGCAGTGCTAGAATTTTTTTGAGTACGCAATTTTATAGCCCATTCAATTTTAGTCAGACAAAGTGCAAGTTTTAAGTAGCTAAAAATTACCGTTGATTTCTTAGTTTTTTTTTTTACGCATTTGCTTCCATATAACGTATAAAAACACAATTTATTTTTATATGGAAGAATCCCGCAACATCTTCGGCGAAAAAAAATTCTAAAAAATCAACTTGAAACATGCACATTGTTAGACTAAAATTGAAGAGGCTATAAAACTGTGTACTCAAAAAAATTCTAACCCTTCTGAGAAAAAAGTTTGAAAGTTTGTTGATTTTTTTTTTTGTAGTTTTTTACGAAGTTTTAAACTTGGGTTTATAAGGGTTTTGTTAGAGAATGAACTGTATTTTAATTGAAATTTCCTAAAAATAAATAATTAAACATGAGCTGGAAACAATACCACTTTGAAAAGAGGGGTGCTAATGTATTGGCCAATACTGTATGTAAAAAGTGGCCAGAACTCGCAAAAAAGGCAGCTGCTCGCAACACTAGTTGCCCCATCGTTTGCCTCGTGTTTTTTTCTACAGACTTGTACTCATTTCGCAAAATACATATCTACTACTTTAACCATTCTAATCAAAATTATTCCGTTGCCGTTTCGTCAAGTCATTAATTCAGTACTTTTCATCTCATTCCCACTTGTTCATTCAACCATAAAGTTATGCACGCTTCATTCATTTCCCTGAATTGCAAGGTAAGGTATACATAGATTAATTGATTTAACTAAATTCCATCAAATCTTATTAGCTAGTGTCATACACACATACATAAATAAATGCCTATGTATCCATTATTGAATGTCCTTTGCTCTGCACGCACATGCTCACATAATTCTCATACACAAATTAATTATAATTTCCCTTTACTTCACGCAAATTGTGGCCATTTAAAATGATTTAATTTAGTTAGGTTACCAAAATTTTGGTCAATTTATGTGTGCAACAACGACGATGGATTTCTTGTTGATGAAATAGCACTTATGTGTTTGTATTATGAACCACAAATTAGACACTTTCGCACAAGTGAGGAGATGTGGTCATATCATTTTGCAGTGCAAAAATAGTTTTGGCTAATAGACTCCTCTACCTCATTCATCATTCTTTAAAATCATCTGCTTGCATGTGTTGACAGTTTTGTTGATTTTAGGACTAGTAGCAGCACAGATGCTTCTTTTTTTTTAGCCCTTATCGTGATTAAAGCTTTAATAGTGTCAACTGAATTGAAAAGGATCCCGATNATTTTTTAGCCCTCATCGTGATTAAAGCTTTAATAGTGTCAACTGAATTGAAAAGGATCCCGATAAAATTATGTGGATTTTTCCAGTAATCAAATTTAATTGCAAATACTAAAGCCCTTGGCAGAGTCTCTTTTCCAGTATGTGATGGGCCTCTTAATACTACTATCACACAAATGGGCGACAATGCAGTTTTATGAGAAGCTTTTTCTTGGGGGCTTAGAAAATATGACTTGCAAAATTTAAAAGAATACGAACATGAAGGACCTTATTACTTTGTTTCCGAAACTTTCCTATCGTTTCTTAACGTGTTTTTACGGTCGCCGGGTAGAAAACCCACTTCTAAGGGAATAGGGTTGTCATGGTTATTAGACCAGTACGTTTTTTCCCATCCGTTCAGAGAGCTTTGACGCGATGTCGACCAAACTCTTGGGGACGCGTTTGCCGCTGTCTGTGACTTCTCGACCTGAGGGTGTTCTCTGCTCAACTCGCAGTACCGGCGTTTCGCTAATGGTTCTTCTCTATGAGGAAAGTAATTTCTAGCTGCTTTTCTCAGCTTATTCCGCTGTAGAATCGACCTTAAATATATTGCCTTTACGCCCTCTGTTGTTGATTGAGGCTTCCGAGCATGGAAATATCAGTCTCCAAGTGCTACCTGACTGACCTTCGGATGAAAAACTTTAGATTCCATTCCCATACCCAATAGTCCTTTTGGTTCCTACAGCTTTCTTTGGTAATTGCCTTAGCATTTCATATAAGTCCATTCCGAACGACACGATGAGACGTAAGTTTTTCCACCCTATAGGTGAAATTAGTTTAGAAATTATGATTCATCATTATCATTACAATTACTTGCATTATTATCATTAAAATTATCATATATACTGCAATTATCATTACCTTAAGAACTACTTTTTAACCGACTTCCAAAAACGGAGGATGTTATCAGTTCGTCGGAATATTTATTTTTTTTTTTTATGTATGTTACCGCATAACTTTGGACCACGTCAACCGAGATTTCGATAATTCTTTTTGCATCGGAAAGGAAGTGTCTCAGAGGTGGTCCCATACTAATCTGGTTGAGATCCGATCAGTGGATCATGAGATATATATATATTTTTTATATGGGAGTTGAAGTCGGTTTTTTTTTTGCTAAAAATTACTTGTATCATTACAGTAACCATTACCACCACTTTACCACTGCAACTACCTTTCATTGCTAGTAAAGTTCGATGTTTTATTATCATTACTATTGCCAGCAATATTATCATCTCCATTACCTTTACAAGTACCATTAACATTTAAACAATTACCACTTCCATTATCACTGATATTACCATTACACTTACCAATACCATTAGCGATACAATTTCCCATGTCATCGAAAATACAATTACCATTGCCATGACAATTAACTTTGCGAATATAATTACGATTACCACCGCTAGTCGCAATGTCATTAACATTATAATTACTAATGCCATTACCATTATAATTACCAATACCATTACCATTATAATTACCAATACCATTACCATTACGATTATTGCATAGAAGCTTAACGCATGTCGAAAGATCGTACTAAAGTAGATGAGTCGTCATAACCACCTGAAACGCTTGCCCCATAAAGTGACGGCTATAAAGTTGGATAACGGAGAACCTCGAGAAGTATGAATACGGCCGCGGCGCTTCAGTCATTTGATCCCTCTCTCTGTAGTTGTCATGCAGTCAGCTCATTACCCTGTAGAGAAAATATCAAGTTTGGA